TATGTTTTTTTATTATCTTTATAATTATTATATGTTTAAGATATTGTAAAAAAATATCATTTTTATTTAATGTTATATTAAAAGACTAAATAAAATATAGATAACATTGTTTTTATTACTTACCACCTAATTACATGTCAATGGAATTGAAAGAAATGTAATTATTTGAATTAATAGTTATATTTGTTTAGAAAAAAAAAATCATGTATCAATGTAACCCCACTTCACTTAAATTAAAATATTTCATAAAATAATTATCAAAAAAAAAAATTTCGGACAACATTGATAGTTTGGCTAGCTTACTATTTGATTTAATGAATAAAAATAGGGGGTATCAAAGTAACCCCATATGTGGTAAAACTTTGATAGCCACACATGACTTTAAAAATATATGTGGTTAAGATTATAAAAAAAATTTTTTTTGATTAATTCTTGTAGAGAAATATATATTTGAAGTAAAGCAATTTAATTAATACAATTTTCTTTACCATAGCATAAGTTAAATGAAAATACAACCAAAAAAACTAACGAAAATTATCAAAGTAACCCCATTTTACGGTAGGCGTTTTGTCGATAATTTTGCTAAAATCGCGAAACCATTAACTTATTTACTGAAGGATGTAACCTTCATGGACTGATAGGTGTGAAGAGGCGTTTGTGAACTCAAAAACAAACTCATAAACCGCCATTACTAACCTATCAGATTGGGAGACGGGAAATTTAATTTAATTACCGACGCGAGCCAATTTGCAATTGGTGCGGTACTCTCGCAGGGATATTCCTACTGACCAACCGATTGCGTACGCAAGTCGTACTAAATAAGCGGAGATTAATTACAGTGTGATACAGAAGGAACAATAGCCATAATTTGGGCAGTAAAGTATTTCCGACCTTACCTCTGGACGAAAATTTAATATAATTACAGATCACCGACCTCTTGCTTTTTATTCGGTCTTAGATGTTCTTAACTCGTACGATGGAGATTACAACTATCAGATACGATGC